TGGCTGGGTTCAGTGGGACCACACACACACACACCATGTATCCTGCCATAGCGGAGATGCAGCGGCTGGGTTCAGTGGGACCACACACACACCATATGTCCTGTCATAGCGGAGATGCAGTGGCTGGGTTCAGTGGGACCACACACACACCATGTATCCTGTCATAGTTGAGTTGCAGCGGCTGGGTTCAGTGGGACCACACACACACCATGTGTCCTGTGATAGGGGAATTGCAGTGGCTGTGTTCAGTGGGACCACACACACCATGTGTCCTGTCATAGCGGAGTTGCAGCGGCTGGGTTCAGTGGGACCACATACACACCATTTATCCTGCCATAGCGGAGTTACACTGGCTGGGTTCAGTGGGACCACACACACACCATTTATCCTGCCATAGCGGAATTGCAGCGGCTGGGTTCAGTGGGTTCACACACACACCATTTATCCTGCCATAGCCGAGTTACACTCGCTGGGTTCCGTGAGACCACACACACACCATGTATACTGCCATACCGGAATTGCAGCGGCTGGGTTCAGTGGGACCACACACACACCATGTATCCTGTCATAGCGGAGTTGCAGCGGCTGGGTTCAGTGGGACCACACACACACCATGTGTCCTGTGATAGGGGAATTGCAGTGGCTGGGTTCAGTGGGACCACACACACCATGTGTCCTGTCATAGCGGAGTTACACTGGCTGGGTTCCGTGAGACCACACACACACCATGTATACTGCCATACCGGAATTGCAGCGGCTGGGTTCAGTGGGACCACATACACACCGTTTATCCTGCCATAGCGGAGTTGCAGTGGCTGGGTTCAGTGGGTCCACACACACACCATTTATCCTGCCATAGCGGAGTTACACTGGCTGGGTTCAGTGGGACCACACACACACCATTTATCCTGCCATAGCGGAATTGCAGCGGCTGGGTTCAGTGGGTTCACACACACACCATTTATCCTGCCATAGCGGAGTTACACTCGCTGGGTTCCCTGAGACCACACACACACCATGTATACTGCCATACCGGAATTGCAGCGGCTGGGTTCAGTGGGACCACACACACACCATTTATCCTGCCATAGCGGAGTTGCAGTGGCTGGGTTCAGTGGGGCCACACACACACCATTTATCCTGTCATAGGGAAATTCCAGTGGCTGGGTTCAGTGGGACCACACACACACCATGTGTCCTATCATAGCGGAGTTGCAGCGGCTGGGTTCAGTGGGACCACACACACACCATGTGTCCTATCATAGCGGAGTTACAGCGGCTGGGTTCAGTGGGACCATACACACACCATGTATCCTGTCATAGCGGAGTTGTAGTGTCTGGGTTCAGTGGGATCACACACACACCATGTATCCTGCCATAGCAGAGTTTAAGCGGCTGGGTTCAGTAGGACCACACACACACCATATATCCTGCTATAGCGGAGTTGCAGCGGCTGGGTTCAGTGGGATCACACACACACCATGTATCCTGTCATTTCGGAGTTGCAGCGGCTGGGTTCAGTGGGACCACACACACACACCCTGTTTCCTGTCATAGCGGAGTTGCAGCGGCTGGGTTCAGTGGGACCACACACACACCATGTGTCCTGTTATAGCGGAGTTGCAGCGATTGAGATCAGTGGGTCCACACACACACCATTTGTCCTGCCATAGCGGAGATGCAGCGGCTGGGTTCAGTGGGACCACACACATCTTGTGTCCTGCCATATCAGAGTATTAGCGGCTGGGTTCAGTGGGACGACACACACACCATTTGTCCTGCCATAGCGGAGTTACAGCGGCTGGGTTCAGTGGGTCCACATACACACCATGTGTCCTGCCATAGCGGAGTTGCAGTGGCTGGGTTCAGTGGGTCCACACACACACCATTTATCCTGCCATAGCGGCGTTACAGCGGCTGGGTTCAGTGGGTCCACATACACACCATGTGTCCTGCCATAGCGGAGTTAAAGTGGCTGGGTTCAGTAGGACCACACACACACCATTTATCCTGTCATCGCTTCGTTGCAGCGGCTGGGTTCAGTAGGACCACACACACACCATGTATCCTGTCATTTCGGAGTTGCAGCGGCTGGGTTCAGTGGGACCACACACACACACCCTGTTTCCTGTCATAGCGGAGTTGCAGCGGCTGGGTTCAGTGGGACCACACACACACCATGTGTCCTGTTATAGCGGAGTTGCAGCGATTGAGATCAGTGGGTCCACACACACACCATTTGTCCTGCCATAGCGGAGATGCAGCGGCTGGGTTCAGTGGGACCACACACATCTTGTGTCCTGCCATATCAGAGTATTAGCGGCTTGGTTCAGTGGGACCACACACACACCATTTGTCCTGCCATAGCGGAGTTACAGCGGCTGGGTTCAGTGGGTCCACATACACACCATGTGTCCTGCCATAGCGGAGTTGCAGTGGCTGGGTTCAGTGGGTCCACACACACACCATTTATCCTGCCATAGCGGCGTTACAGCGGCTGGGTTCAGAGGGTCCACATACACACCATGTGTCCTGCCATAGCGGAGTTAAAGTGGCTGGGTTCAGTAGGACCACACACACACCATTTATCCTGTCATCGCTTCGTTGCAGCGGCTGGGTTCAGTAGGACCACACACACACCATGTGTCCTGTCATAGCGGAGTTGCAGCTGCTGGGTTTTGTTGGAGTACACACATCTTGTGTCCTGCCATAGCGGAGTTACAGCGGCTGGGTTCAGTGGGTCCACATACACACCATGTATCCTGTCATTACAGAGTTGCAGTGGCTGGGTTCCGTGAGGCCACACGCACACCATGTAACCTGCCGGAATTGCAGCGGCTGGGTTCAGTGGGTACACATCACGTTTCCTATCATAGCGGAGTTGCTGTGGTTGGGTGTAGTTCTATAAAAATACAGATCATGGAAGTGTGAACACTTCCACAAGAAAATGTTCACGATGCAATGTGTCCCGTATTTATGTCACATCAAATACATCTAAGTTCAGCATCTCTGCAAGAATGTAAGTATTACGTCACATCTGGGATGATGCAGATTATTTTGGAAAAACAAGCTGAGAATAAACGTGCCCGTCGGGTATTAATATATGCAATTTTCGAGTAAATATCAACTATCAGAGCGCCTGCATACACAACGACCTTCACAACAATACAACTACAACAGCACTACCACATTGGAGACCCGTGAAGATCATTCAGCATGTACATATATAGCAATTGAAGATCCGCTTCCCGAGGCAAGGGAGTTAACAGTAGATGCGAGGTAGAATAGGTCTTCAGCAAACCATGCTTGCCGTAAAAGGCGTCTATGTTTGTCATAACAGGCGACTAACGGGTTCGGGTGGTCAGACTCGCTGACTTGGGTGATGCATGTCATCGTATCCCAATTGCGTCGATCAATGCTCATGACATCAATCACTGAATTGTGTGGTCCATACTCGATCATTTACAGATCGCCGTAACAAAGCTTGAATATTGCTGAGTGCAGCTTATACAATAAATATCAACATTAAAGGGGCACTGATCTAAAGCAATTCCACGGGACTGGTTGTTGTCTTTGTTATTGTATTTTCCCGTGAGTACCCGGATGATATAGCAGAAATCTAGACTAGTTCGCGATCTGTGCTGCGCAATTCGTAAGCGCGTTTGTCACTTTTATTGATAGTATATGGGTGTATGGTCACATTGATCAACAACATGAAATACAGTTTTGGAAATAATAAGGAAATGTAGGTATCTGTGTGGGTAGCATCGGTAATGGTGACGAAGTTTTGATAAGTCACTAGCTTGGTAATTGTGCGATTTTCGTTTACACTATTTTGACTTGCAAAACAAACTAAATATTTCTCTTGAGCATTGCTTATTTTATCGTGTTTATATTTTTACAGTCAAAAAGTGCAATTTTTTCACTTAGGAAATTTATTAAACACCTGAATATTCAGTTATTTTACAAATTGACTGAAAAATATGTCCATCTGTATTATTATGACAACGAATTCCAAGCATTTTATGTTTAATATCATCACCAAGAGACTGAAAATGTTACGATGAATAGTACTTTTCCGTATTGTTTGGCTTCTTATCCTACATAATAATCTATTGTTATGTTCTTAGGCCCTTTTGGAACGTCGTAATAAATTTTAGTCAATCTGTTAAAGAAATGGACAGATTTTTCAGTCAAAATGACCGAAATATTTAGACATTTTATAACTTGTCTGAGAGAATTACATTTTACAAATTGACTGTAATATATACACGCTTACAAAGGAAAAGACTTGTCACGTCTATCGCGCATCGAAGAACTTCCCAACCAAGACGTAGAGGAACAAGAATGAATCTGTTCAATGCTACAGAAAATGAAGGAAAACAAAATGCAAATATCATAATTTCAACCTACCAAAGTTATTTGTATAATTTTAGGCTGCTTCCGGTTCCAGACAACAGGGAGAGTGCAGGACAGAACGCGTTCTGGTAGACCCAGAGTAACATCTAGGGCAGATGACCGATGCGTTGTGCTGCAAGCCCTTCGGAACCGGTTCACAACAGCCAGTGCTTTGAGACTACAACTCCGACCAGCAACACACACCAACGTAAGCGTATCGACCATCAGGAACCGCCTCAGAGCTGCTCATTTAAGGTCACGTCGTCCAGCTGTACGTCCTCATCTTCGTCCCCATCACCGAGCTGCAAGACTTGCCTTGGCCAGGGCACATTTGAGATGGGATAACCAACAATGGTCCAGAGTTCCCTTCACTGACGAGTCCCGTTTCTGTCTTGAGCATAATGATGGAAGGGTAAGGGTTATGAGACGTCATGGAGAACGTTATGATGATGCCACTGTACGAGAAAGAAACAGGTTTGGCGGTGGCTCTTTGATGGTATGGGGAGGCTTCAGTTTGCACCACCGAACACCCCTCTATCTTGTTCAAGGCAATTTGAATGGAGTGAGGTATCGTGACGAGATTTTGCGCCCGCTTGTCCTACCACAGTTGAACAACATTGGTCCAGGAGCAATCCTGCAAGATGACAATGCCAGACCACATTGGGCTTGAGTCGTTAGAGACTTCCTGCAACAGAACAATGTGACTGTGATGCAGTGGCCATCATATTCACCGGATTTGGCATCAATTGAGCATCTTTGGGATGTTCTGGGACGACGTGTCAGGGACAATCATGGAGTTGCACCAGCTCTTCAGGTTCTGGTCCAATGGCTCCAAATGGAATGGCAGGCGATTCCACAGGCTACCCTTCGCACCCTTGCAAGATCTATGAGGCGAAGATGCACCGAATGCGTCAATCAACGTGGAGCACACACTCGCTATTGACATTGTGATTTCCATTTTTGACCCCAACTTTCTTATTCGACTTGTTCGTGTATGCTTTTCAATGACAGCTAACTGTAAATGTTTTTGTTTTGAAGCTTGATAATCTGCTAATGCACAATTGTAATGATACGATCACTTTGCATTAAATGTTCCTTTTTATAACAGGATATTTTCGGGATATTATAACCCGTGTTCGTTTCTCAACCAATCACATAGATTGTTTCAGGTGTTTCACTTACGTGTCAAGTCTCAAAGGTCGGCTGAGAAAGCCCACGTGACAACTATTTTCCTAACGTCCACGGTTCCTAAAAATTCCATTGTGTTAGATAACAATGAGCAATCAATCACCTTATTATCAGTTAACCCTTTGAACAACGTATGTTGTTTTTACATCGGCACTTCACGCCATGATATGAGTGTATTCCCTTTGTTTTAGTAAACCTAGACATGTAAACACTAACTTTTGACATATCCACTTTGCAAGATAACAGTGATTAATCAATCAATGTATTTTCTGTTAATCCTCTGATGACTAGGAACTGTCCGTTGATTTACAAAAAAGTTACCCCCAGACACAATAAATGCTAAATGGGAACCTTTGTCAGGTAATCTAAGTGGTGCTACTACTAATTATACCTATAATAAATTCATTAACTGAGCATCAAGTGAATGACGACAAATACACGCGTATAGGGTAACACCAGAAAACGTGGATGACATCAAGGGAGTAGTAATCGTATTATCGACGCAATCTGAAATCCGAAAATGCTTCACTGCATGGATACTTTTTTATTATTAAACTATTACAATCAGGGGTATTTCCAAATGACGACATCCGATGAACTCCGTCGTTCTTTTTGTCTGTTTGTTTAGGCAGTAGTATAGGTAATGGTGATTCTGCCACAACCCCACTGGAGCCAGATTTATATACCTATACCACCACTACAGGTGACATTTTTTATGTGTAAATGACTATGCGATTCAATGATAGTCATGAGATTAAGCTAAATTGACTCTAGCTCACCACCACCTGGAGCCAATCATAGATACCATTGGTACCAAAACGATGATGAGACTAAACTAAATTGTAATGAAAATATTCTCCATTATTTCCGCTATTTCCATACCAAGTACGATAGGAGCGGCGATTATAGTTGATAATAAACCATCACCGGCTACACCGAGTCCCATGCCAGCTGTTACAAGCGCGGTGTCAACTCCGTCCAGAGCATTCAAGGCTCTGCGATACTTTTTATATAATCCAAGTCTAAACTCCCTCCCCTTTTCTATTCGATGTTTTATGTCGCTTATTTGATGTAATCAAAATCCATCAACAGTATCCATCTTTTTAAATGCCTCATCGAGCGCCGGATATAAACTCATAGTGTATATTACGGTCATATAATAGTCTTTAATTGATCTTGCTTAAATGTTTTGAGAGTATACATCAACCTTATTAAATGAATATTATACGGCAAGAATATCTTAGTAAGAGAAATGCTATCACTTTTAATAATTTGGACTCCCTCAAGGGTTGCATCGGGTGATGCTCCAATATGAATAATACTGCAACATTGATGTTGGTGTTTCTTTAGCCATTTAATCGATAGACCTGGTAATATTTTGAAGGCATCTACCGGTACATCTCCGAACAAGACTTCAATAATAAGCGTAGAAAGATTAGGTATTGCACTCAAGTTCTGTTTAATATCATTGAATTCAGTAACCAAATTTAAACTACCATTTTTTGATGCCGGACGACTATATAACATATGACCTTGGTTTTCTGGCAGGGGAGAGACTAACACACTTTTTCGTTTTGATGGGATATAAGCACCAAGTACGATGCCACTATTTATTATCTTAGTTAAATTATGTGCCTTACCCATCATCACATACCATGGGGTAATGACGATATTCAGTAGCCACTTGATGTTTGCTTTGACCATAGTCCATTTATTATCATCGAGTAAGATTGTACGAAGTGTTTTTTTAAGGAGTCTACTAACAACGTCGACATCGCTTAAATCTCTTAGATTACCTGTGAATGTAACTTCTTTCCGCTTGTATACATTATCTTGTAAGTGTTAAGCGTATAACTTACCATCGGTACCGGGTCTACCGAATCCTTCTGTGTCTCCGAGATCGGAAAGCGCAATTGTATTACATTGTCTGAGTGTTCCAGGGCCTGATGAATCAACCATTATTTATAATATGGAGTGTTACACTTAAGTATCCTATATGTACAGGTTGGTGTTTTACATTTAATACAGAAATTTTGAGGTCTGAAATAATACCACGCTTTAATTTTTTATATTGTAATGATGAGAAAGAGTCCGTTCTACCGCTATTATATTTTTCATCTTTCACTGGAACAGATCTGAGCAGAGTTGAAGGATTTTCTAGTTGAATATTAGCCGTCGTACTTATTTGATCAAGATGGATGCACAACTCTTTATAGGGAACTAAATTGGGTAATTTAATTCCATGCTTTGTTTGGTTGGGTTCTACTGTATTTAATCTTTCATTTATAAATCCAAGTGTGTATGCTAAGTTCTTGTAAAGAATTATGATAATTCCACCAGCACTTAAAATCAGCATCCCATTCGACTCATTTTGTGTGAGACTAGCTCCCAAAGGCTTAAGAATTTCATCATTGAGGGAGCATACGCTGTAATACCCATCGGGTATAATGTGCTTGTTTACACCTATCCATAACTCATTATTATCTCTTACAGCACTTATATTGGTCCACCGTGGGTAATAGGTTACATCGCATAGGGCGACTTCAAGTTGACCTCCGAGTTATCGATAGTATGAAGCAGTTCAATAGACTGACCATTTGTTATTCCCGGGAGTGTGACATACATATTAAATATACGATGATACTATATCATAACTTAAATATGAAATCAACTTATATTACTAATCAGTCGATTTGAGTAAGTGCCTCTGGTGCTATTTTTTTCGTTGAATACCCTGATATCTTTGAAAAATACAGGTTCACGGCAACTAGCGATAAAATGGTGCATGATTGGTTTCACAATCCGATGCAATTTTGGCAGAATCAGTTAAACTTTGCCATATGGTGTGCAACAACGGGATGTGGTGTATCTCTTTATGCTCCAGGATTTGAACTGAATAAGTCTTTTTTATCATTTCAGGTGTACTATCAGATTAGACGTATACTTAAAGAAATTAGTGCGGGTGGGCGAAAGCGAAACTAATAATAATTCTAATATTGATCCAGTTAAAACTTGGGCACTAGTAGGAGTTGTTGCTATAGCAGCTGTATGGTTGTTTTATAAGACCGGAGAAGAGAAAACGTCACCCCTGATGTCACAACAACAAGTTCAATTAGAGGTTAGCCCTCATATAATGCTATAAGAAGCATGACTACTCCAGTTACAGACGGTAAAATGTTGGTAAACGCAACGTATCATTCAGCGTTGGTCAGCGGCTTGGCCATTGGCTATGCCCGTATAGCTAAAATGATTACTAAAGCCACACCTCCCAAACTAGATTTTAATGGTTATGATATCGCTATGGCCATTCTTGATATTGGATTGGCTATGTCAACAAAAGATATGCTCATCAAAAAAGGGCTTATCCCGGAAGACATAATGAAGTAATTGAACATTTGAATATTTTATATTCATATAAACATTTGAATATTTTATATTCATATAATATGGCATCAATTGCGATGATGGTCGGTGGAGCTGTTGTTAATGATCTAGCTTTTTCGGGGAGTAATTTTTTATTTTCTAGTATGAGAGGTTCTGAGCAGAAAAGACATAATAAAGCATTAGAACAACTCGAAGCAGTCCAGTCACAATGGACCAGAAATAGGATATTAAGATTAGATTTTATTCATGAAGAACTACGTAAAAAAGGACATTCAATTCAAACCTTTAAGGATGTCGAATCTGCCATGCACGAATACTTCCTTGTTTATGGGAAAAAACTTGACCCTATGCCGAGACCAACAATGAGTCAGTTTTATACACCATCAGAGGCTAAAAAAAACGCGAGGTAAAATTCATCATAATGTGGTTGACTGCTGTGGCTATTTATAGTTACACAATAACTACGCATAAACCATGAACTAGTTAGGGCGGGCACTCTGACTAAAAATCAATAAATAGCCATGTCTCACCAGAGGAGATGTGATTTGCATTTAGACAAATGATATGATAGATGTATAACCATGAATCTGTTCAGATTTACACTCATGGGAAAGCAGACTCAATGTAACCGATGTTCTGTGGGTATTTACTGTGGTATACACTCTTATTACATCAGGCGGGGAAATATAAACTATACATGTTCTGTATGTTGGATAGGGGTCAAAGGTCGTTATTGTTTATGTAAGAAAAACAGTGCTGATAGGGTCAGGAACCAGATTATATACGCTAGGAAGAGAGATTCCATCAATGATAGGAATAGGTTGGGGAGAATACGTATTTAGATATATGAAAAATAACCAAGTAGACAAATGAATCATTTTGCATATACCATTTAACCACAATGTTTTTTGTGAGAGAGTTGAAGGCTTTAGCAAAACAACGTGGTCTACGTTATTCTAGAATGAGAAAAGATGAATTGATCGATTTACTCGGTTTGGAATACAACAAACCCCAGACTGTTAGAGAACTCAAAGCTCAAGCAAAAAACAGTGGGCTGAGAGGTTATTCTCGAATGAGAAGAGCTGAATTGATCGCTTTACTAGATAATAATCA